GATGGACCAACACGCAAAAGGGCCCCAACGGTCGGCTTTGAACCCTGGCGCTGCACGCAAGGAATCAAAGCTCGAATACAATTGGTTGCCAGCTTAACCCAACTGAAGCAACCATCCAAAGGGGGGGCCACAATTAATTTTTTTTTTTTACATTTTCAGTTTCCATTCTACATTTTTAATATTTTGTTAAACTAAAATGTAAGTCATATGTTATGTCTGAACCTGGCACCATTTTCATTTATTTTGACAACTCAGTGTTTGTTTTCTACCTAGTCTTGAGCATCCCTGCGCTAGCTAACTAATGCAGTCCAAATCCATAAAGGCTATAAGCTCAAATGTATATTGTGGGACTACATATTTTCCTGTAAGTTGCTGATTTAGATCATGATGCGTAGTCCAGCAATATGAAATGCTGAAAGTGGAAAATCTCTCTCATTTGTCGTCAAAATGTACCAGAGATGTGAGTCAAATGGGGGGTTGTGCCGAGTCAGACTCGCAAACTTGACTAGGTCCTGATTTCACTTGGAGTTCAGCTTTGTTGATTGAACATACTCGAACTTCCCCAAACCTGAAGATTAAAAGTATGTTATTTAAAAGTGTTGCCACAAATCAATTCATTTCCCTTCATCTTCCAGGTTGCAGAGAACCATGAAAGAACTAATGCTATGTTACTAAGCGCCAGTATTTATAATGTTTACATTCTGCGTTTAAAATAACATTACATTTGGTGAAGTGCGGCCTGGTTTGGGACCTCAAAAATCAAAGTTTAAGGACTTTGGATTGGCAAAAGATTACAAAAGACTTAGGGAAGTAACGAAGTTTCAAGTACTTTTGTCTTTTTGCATCCCTCCCTGCTTACTTGAGCCTTGCAGAACAATGACTTGGTCCCAACTCTGAAAGCTACCTAAGGGACACAGACCTAAAGCTTAAACACAGTTTCCAATATATATGTCAAAACAGTTTTATCCCTCTTTGGACAATGGATAGTGCATTTTAATTTCTGCAGGAGTTTTTAAAAATCCCCTAGAAACCCAGTAGAACTGACAAAGCCTTTGAGGCGCAGAGCTTGTCCTACCACTGCAGTAACCTAAGACGGTGTCACAGA